TGAGTGATGAGTGAGTGAGTGAGTGAGTGAGTGAGTGATGAGTGGTGGGTGGGTGGGTGGTGATGAGTGATGAGTGAGTGAGTGAGTGAGTGAGTGAGTGACGTGAGGAGTGAGTGAGTGTGTGTGTGGTGTGGTGTGTGTGTGCGTGTGTGTGGTGTGTGTGGTGTGTGTGTGCTGTGGTGTTGTGTGTGGTGGTGTGTTGTGTGTGTGTGTGTGCGTGCGTTGGTGTGTGTGTGTGTGAGTGGTCTTGCTGGTAACCATGGCTTGGCTTTACTCCGCCACAGGTCAGTGGTCTTTAAAGGTATTCTTGTTTGATATGTTGATATTTCTGAACTTGGTTAATATTTGTTACGACACAAAATCAGCTGTCTGACTGTGAACAACTATATAGAGGTTGCCGTCGTCGTGCAGAATCTTTAAAAGGTGTTTTGATAAAACTGCACAGGGGTTAAATTCCCCTCTCCCCACCTCGAGCGGGTGTTCACTCCAGCTTGCGACACCGCACAATTAAAGTTTGCAGAGAAACGACGCCGAGGACGATGAACCGGGTTCCTTTCCCAATACGCCGCCAATGTCATCCATGCAAGCGTCACTAATGAGGCTATTTTCGCGGTTTGCACCGTTCGAATCCCGCGAGCGCAACATGCAGGGGTCTGCGGCTCGTTGCCCCAGATTATGCCGGTTCTAAAAGAGGTATGGCATCCCTTTCCACCAACCAATGCAATCACCCACGATCTACCGAATCCATCGCCGGCCGAGAGCTGTACCGAGAGGTCAAGGCGAGCGATCTCCGCCGCTTCATCCCGTCTGGCTGGGGCCAGCGTGACGTCAGGCCGTGGTCGGATGATGCACCTATGTCGCTCCCGGAGCGAGCTAGCGCTGCGTCTTGCGCCCGAGGCGTCGCGTTCTGGAGCGGAGACACCGTGCGGATCACGACGAGTGATGGAGTCTCAATCTCCCGCCAGAACGTGGCCTGGCGACGAGCGCGTGCCTGACCCTGCGTCAAACCGCGCGCTGGCGACCGGTGATTCCGGTGATGCTCGACGGTGATGCTCGACGCCCCCGTCATGTAACCCGAATCTGAAGCGTCCTTGAATACAAAACACACACCACAGATAAACTGGCATCCGCTTATACGAATTGGCCGATGACGTCCTCTGCTCGAATGACTGGACTTGAATGGGCTCCAGTCAAACAAGGCTGTTGTTCAGCAGCACCTGCACCAGCGGAATGATCCGTCGGTCGGTACACCTCATTGCAATGCTAACCCGCTGCTCCAGCGATCCACCTGGCCCATTTCGAGATCACCCAACCACGAGTCACCACGACCCCAACTCGACCGATGTTGCTCCGCACGCGCTCAGCGGTCACGACCGCGTGGTGACATCCCCTCGTCGGGGGGCGGGCGCTGGCGCTCCTCGTCACATCAGCCCGCGCTCTGCAGAACCCCTGAGCAGGGGCAGGCGGCGCTGCCTGGACTCGCTTACCGCCGACTGCATACCTCCCACCACTTCGGGGTGCCAACCGAAAACAACAGGACGTGTGGCTTTCCGTCTGAGGTGACCTGCTCGGCCTGCATATGCCAGGGTCCGGAATTCTCGATCCCTTTGGGTCCGTGGAGATGAAGACACCGGACACATCACGCACGACAGAGGCAGCATGCGGTATGACAGGGACGCACACCCCACCCACGTGCTCCGGCAGGCGCGCCGTTGGTTCCAAAATGCTGTCGGACCGGCTGGCCACTGCGAGGTCATTTTGTTTCAAAACTCCTTCGTCAACGCAAGACACGCACAATGAAAGGACATTGGCATGCACGTACCTTGTGTCGGCTGCAAGACCTGACTCGCCGGCGAGCCACTCTGGTGTCACTGACCTGTGTGGGTGTTTAGCGTCACTGACCCTGTGTGGGTGGACCGCTCAAACCACCGCTTCACGTCCTGCGGGCCAGATCTGCTCCCAGAACTGTCGGTCTTCCTCAAGCAGATGGGAAATCGAAAGTGAGTGGTGTGGGTGGTGCAGCCGCACAGCCACTGGACCTGTCTTTCCTGTTATTGCACGTCATCGTTTCATTGTTGTAAGACGCTTGCTGATATATGGCCATGTGGCACCCATTTGGAACACTGTCATTGGTTCTCTGCTTAAATGTGAAGATGACAGCCGAATAGCTTTGGGCCCGGCCCTGTGATTCGATGGCGTGGTTAATGCGAGGAAGCGGTCAGCAACCAGCTCGTCTGACCTGTTCGACGACATGTTATGCCCTGCTCCGTGGACCCTGCCTGGGTCACTGGACGGAGGCGACAGTGCCGCGCGCTTTCGATATGCCGGTCAGGAATACATATATGATCGGGGTTTCGTGACGATATGGGCCAAGACAGCTACCTTAAAGAGCTTCGACAGCGTGCAGCAGCCCGGCCAACGCCGAATCAGCAGTCACTGGTTTTGTGGCCGGCTCGAGGGCCACACGCAGTCCATGCACTCAACTCTAATAGCGTGACATGACCTCCTGATACCCACAGCGTAATTCAGGGGCACTCAGGGGTCGGCTTTGTTTGCATTTGACTGGCGTCGTGCCGTTGTCTTTACACTCTGGACATTCGGTTGTGGCAGAGCCGGGGAGCGTAGTTTACTATTTAGCTGCCTCTGATCCCCTTCCCAGCTTGGGGAACGAAGCGGGCCGAATCCGGGTAAAGATCCGTTTGTTGGTATATTTTGGGGCAGGTTGCGTAGTTTCCAAATGCTTAGCCTCAGTGTCGCTGCGTGTTTTTTACTCTGACTACGTCACCCGGCTTGAGCTCAGACAGATCAAGCGTTCTGTCTTGATTCGTGGTCCGCCATAGTCTTGATCGTGGTCTCTGCATCTTCTTGCTGAACTGCGTTGGCAGGCAGTTGTGTCGGCTCCAGGCTCTCAGCTTCCCTCCCATGAGAAGTTATGCTAGCGTGTAGCCGATGCCGTGGGGTGGCGCTGCTCAGGATGACAACGGCGTCAGCCGCGGATCTCACCTTCTTAAGACGTTCTCCACCGTTCGCACCGCCTTGTCAGCTCTTCAATTTCTCCAGAGGTAAGTGACGTGAAGTTATCGTATGCACGGATGTCTATGCAGCCGTGAGGTCCTTGAGCGTGTTACTGCCAAGCCGGGGCCCTCTGTCAGTTACGGCTTCACACGGCAGGCCGTGCCTCACGAAAGCCGACCTCACTCCGACGACAGCAGCGCCACTGGAAGGTGAGGGCGGCGCCAGCAGGCCACGGTATCACACGGCAGGCCGTGCCTCACGAGAGCCGACCTCACTCCGACGACAGCAGCGCCACTGGAAGGTGAGGGCGGCGCCAGCAGGGCCACGGTATCACACGGCAGGCCGTGCCTCACGAAAGCCGACCTCACTCTGACGACAGCCAGCGCCACTGGAAGGTGAGGGCGGCGCCAGCAGGGCCACGGTATCACACGGCAGGCCGTGCCTCACGAAAGCCGACCTCACTCCGACGACAGCAGCGCCACTGGAAGGTGAGGGCGGCGCCAGCAGGCCACGGTATCACACGGCAGGCCGTGCCTCACGAGAGCCGACCTCACTCTGACGACAGCAGCGCCACTGGAAGGTGATGGGCGGCGCCAGCAGGCCACGGTATCACACGGCAGGCCGTGCCTCACGAGAGCCGACCTCACTCTGACGACAGCAGCAGCGCCACTGGAAGGTGAGGGCGGCGCCAGCAGGCCACGGTATCACACGGCAGGCCGTGCCTCACGAGAGCCGACCTCACTCTGACGACAGCAGCGCCACTGGAAGGTGAGGGCGGCGCCAGCAGGCCACGGTATCACACGGCAGGCCGTGCCTCACGAGAGCCGACCTCACTCTGACGACAGCAGCGCCACTGGAAGGTGAGGGCGGCGCCAGCAGGCCACGGTATCACACGGCAGGCCGTGCCTCACGAGAGCCGACCTCACTCCGACGACAGCAGCGCCACTGGAAGGTGAGGGCGGCGCCAGCAGGCCACGGTAGCTTGAGTGATGATAAGTTTACAGGTGGCTACCTTGGTCTTCATGTCTGGGCTTAACCCAGGTCAAGAGACGAAGTCACTGGCCAACTGGCGGCGCTTGTTCGGACCGATGTGGTCCTGATGGGGCTAATCTAGGATCTCTTCTCTTTACTCCTCCAGGATTGCGGCTAATCACTCGCTAGATACAAGAAATCTTGGACGGATAAAGAGTTTTCAACTGTGGGGCTTGCGGCAGTACCAGGACACTCCTCTACAGCAAACTTCATCGCCTTCGTCAATGTCTGGTCCGTTACTTGCACATACCAAACAACTGCAGCCTTGCACCTTCAACCACTGCAGTAATTACATTATCAGCATAGGTCTTCACCATATCACCAAGATCAGCGTCATCACGCTTCTCGCTCACGTCGCTCCCAGTTGGCTGCATTGACATCACATCTGTAATATGCATAACGCTACAAGGGTGGATCTCAGCTTAGAAGTTGTACGGGAGCAATCAAAATAATATCCTCTGGTAGCGGACTGGCGCTACATCAGCATCCTTCATTCTCGACAATAGCACGAAGGGGTTATGGTCTGTCACAGCCCTGAAGACCTTCAGCCTATGCAGGCACTTGTGGAACTTGCTGCGAGCAAAAGTTGTCCCAGACGCTCGTCCTCGACGCCTTCAGAGTGTTGTTCATGGGGCGGCAACGTACGCGACCAGATCATCACTTGCCGAAGTGATGATCTGTAATGTTCCAAGAAGAGAACACCCTCATCTCGTAACCATCGCGGCTGTAGACACCATGGATGGAAGTTTCGGGTTATGGACCCATAGCGTGGGTGCTTCGGACACGTGCTGCTTGATTGCATTCGAGGCCTGTTCTGGGTGAGGGTCAACTGAGGCTGACCTCCAGTTTCAGACTTGACCTTTCGGAAGGAGATCGTCCAGAGGCTTCAGCACTCCTGAGAGATGGGGAATAACCTCGCCATTATAGTGCATCATACCTGGTAGTTTCTCAGCTCTTGTGACGCTCAGCTCAGCTCTGTGCACGGTCCTCTTCAAGTAAACCTTTCACCAATGATGTGGCCAAGACACTTCAGGTTTTTCTGCTTGATTTGGCGCTTGCTTTTGTTTAGTGTTGGGCCACCTGCCTCCATCGTAGTGAGTACATATGCCAGACGCTGGTTATGTTCGTCTTCAGGCGATCCACAAAAAAGAACATCAGTCACGTAGCGCAGACTTTGCCTGCACATCTACGCAGCAAGCGATATACCCTGTACTGATACAGTTCTGGCGCACAGAATATGCCTGGAGACAAACCCTTCATTTCGAGCCTACCACCGGACGTTTTGCGCTGAATGGGTCAGAAAGATGATTTGTTAGACTTCTGTAGGTTGGATAAAACATTGACCTTGTGAAATGCGTCTTGCGGTGATTATCTTCTAAAGGACGTTACCCCTTAGGCAGTCAGGTTTTCAGCGCCGACAGAACTGAGCGGCTCTGTTCGATCGTGCATCTTGCCATCCCTGACACTCGCGAGCCTCGTTTCAACCCATTTAAATGGCTTGCACCCCGCAATGTAATGCGGGATTTGAACGACATCTGCCGAAAATCCTGTCGAAGGCAACAATCCACCTCCACCACAATTACTATCCGCATGCCTATTGAGTCACTCACCAAATATCCGCCTGTTTTATTTGCCCCGCCCTTGCCAGCACAGCTTTGGCCGTGCAACGCCTATCGCCGTGCCCTTCCACCCCCCTCCACCTAACGGACGGTGGCCGTGATGGCTGGTCGGGGAGGATGGGACGCGCGCCGCTCACACGCGCGGGCCGTGCGGCTCGCAGAGGTGGCGTGCGGCAGAAGCAAACGTGCCCTTCGCACGCTGTCACAGGTGGGCTGTTCAGGTGGGAATGTGGGTCCGTCATCTTTGGGACGTGTGTGAACATGAAATGGTTGTGAATAAGAAGACTGCGGTGATAAGGCAGATGCTGTTGGTGATATGACATTTGCTATGTTAACGAGGACGAACAGAATCACAATTACAATCATCGGTCTTCAGTTTACTACAAAAAGACGGTAAACCCAC